GCATCCTAAACCACTCTCAACTCAAGCTGTCTGACCATAGTCAGAGTCAGCATCTTGAGACAGCTGGAAGCGTGGATTTGGGGATTCAGACCCTCCAAATAGATCTTCAGCATAGCACGAGCTGATGCTCACCAAATTCCTTGTCTGCCTTGCCTGATACTGCAAAAGGAACAGTTCTGCAGGAGACCAAAATGTATGCTATTTTTTACCATTTCTGGTTAGGACAGGGTGTAGACAAAACCAATGCCACACATAGCAACGTGTACCAAAGAAGCTGCTCAGAATTCCATTTAAAAGCAAAAAAAAACAATTTTTTTTTTTGAAAATGTAATTAAAACTGGTTATGATTTTGTTAAATACTGAATCCAGAAGAATGATTGTAATGATTTATTCAGCTCTGATGTTTTACGTAGACACAATCGTGTAAGTTCATTCTGCTTCGCATGCTCCATTACTATCTTCTCTTGTCACAAAGGAACCAAACACATCCAGCCAGTTGAACAGGTAACAACTCTGCATTGCACCTCCTGCTATTCAGAGATGTATAGGGGTATTGAGAGGATTCTGGACCCCTCCCCACGTACACACACACACACACACACACACACATGTGTGTGTGTCACTCCACACTTTCCTCTTCCAACACAATGTGCAGGATTAGTTTAGGTGGAAGTGGTGCAGACACAATCCCCAGCACATCAGGCTGAAGGCACAGCTCTCTGTGCTCTATGAACTCTCCACTGAAACAGAAGTTTGCTGCACTCAAGCATAGAGCCAGGTAGATTACCCAACACAGCAGCCCTAGTAATGATCAGACATGGTCTTCAGACTCCTAATTGAGCATACTTTTTAATGTTAAAGGCACACACTGGCTGCTTCATACCCTCCCAGACTCTGTTCTGTCGTGCACAGGAAGCACCTGTCTGGAAAATGAGTGAAAAGCCAGCAGGAACTCAGATTTGGGTGAAGCTGTCTCACCCCCATCTCTGCCAGCCCTGCTGGGATTGCTTGCCTGTTGGCTCTGCATCACATCTGTACTTACAGTATGCTCACTCACCCATAACCAACCGCTTCATGGGAAGGGGATGGCAAACCACATGGGTGTGAATATTTCACTAGGTTCAATGATAAAAAGTGTAACAGCCAAGTGAAATGAAAGCTGAACAGCTCATTTCAAATACTTGTAAATGCCACGTTAAGAGCATTGTTGGAGCTCTGCTTTTATAATGCCCTTTTACTGCCAACAGTTAGCAATTTCTCTGAAATAGCTGGAGAACAGCCTTGTTTCATTCTGGTTTCCCAATCTCCAAGTCTCTGTCATTCACCTTGTATCTCTGCCGTATTAGCTTTTTACTGATCATCAAACAGCCAGCTCAGCAGGCACGAAATAACTGGTGTCTGGGAATCACAGTCTTCCGTTCCTTCATTTGTTCTTGTGTGTCCCATTTTCTCTGCATTTGGCACCAGTGCCTGTTAACAACCCTTCCTCATTCTTCTGGTGCCTAGGAGTTGCCCAGAATTAGGTGGTTTTGTAGGGTCGGCATCGATTTTACATCAGGCTGTGTTGCTTTCCTGGAAGTTCATTTGCACGTACTGTAATACCACAGGCAGCACAGGCAGTCCCAGACATGGAGAGCCTCTGCATAGCCAGTGCCAGAAGTTGCCAACGGCAGAAGACAAACTAAGCCTATCCTCTGTGGTGGGACCATGCCCCTCGTGTCTGAAGCTGTGCCCTTCAGGCTTTTAGGGAGACAAGCAGGAACATAGGTGTCGTTTAAGTCCAATGGGGATTACTTGACTACCATACCAGAGAGCCTGGGATACTCAGAAGGAAAGAGCACCTTTGTTTTTCATGCAGTCCTAACCTTGAGAATTGCCCACAGGCTTGGTTCCCAGCTTTCACACAAGGATTAACACAGTCGGGTCACTGAAGGGTGATGGTGTTGGGATTCATGCTCATTTGGGTCTAATGTCAGCCAGTATGGGGCAGCCTGTAAAGAAAAAAGCTGTTTACTTTTCAAGACTAGGCTGTTGTTCCTTCTCTCACCTTCTCTTTACAGTGCTGCTACATGCATTTGATTGCAACTTCTATGAGAACCTATTTGTGAATTTACAGTTTTTTTGTAAACATGTTGGACCTTGAAAGTAACATCATCAGAACTGCCTAAGCCAATCACATTTCTAAAAGGAGCTTAGATATTTAACACGTGGAGCTCTGGCCTTAAAATAAACATCTGGGAGCTAAAACTAAACAAGATGAAAACCTTAGAAAGAGCTCACTATCTATAAGTGGGGTTCACCAACTTCACCTCGCTAGGCCAGGAGGAAGCACCAAGTAGAAAATGGGCACTGAAAGCCCACCATTCTCATGGACCCGGTTGTTGTTGTGCAAGGCTGCCCAGAATTACTTCAGGGTAGTGGGTGGAAGTAGCAGCAGATCATCCATAATATTGTAAGACTTGGTTAGCTCATTTCCTTGCCTCCAAGCCTGAAGTGACTCATACACATCTTCCCCACCTTCCAGGAGCTTGTCCTGTCACTCCAGGGCTGGACAGACCTCCTGTTCTCCCTCCTATCTTTTGCTGTTTGGCCACCAGGGACTCAGGAATCATAGCATCCAAGAGGGAGCTGACCTGTTGATTCATGATTAAGAAATTTGTCTGGGGACACAGGCATGGATGTCAAAATGACACTGTATTCCTGCAGTGCTATTGCTCTGGGAATATTCGCTCCAAGCCACTAAGTACATGAAAGAAGGGGTTAAATAGGACATGTCTGTATCATTCAGCCTCACACATTGAATTATCACTCAGTAAGAGCAGAGAAATAGTCATGGGGAGACCTCCTGAAGGAAGAAGACACTTAGCTAAAGCCCATATTCATCAACTGAATGAGTAATCTGAATAGGAAAACAGCATTAGTGCTTGTAGTGAGTAATCAATAGGAATCAGAGAGCACCAGTACATTTAAAAGGCTCAGGCAAGCCTCAACTGTCTTGACAGAAAATGAAATCTGTAACCTTGTGTCTGAGTTATGTGCTTTTTGTGGATTATACAGCACCTTGAAGTATTGGCAACTTGTTTTAGCACTGCATATTTGTGGCCAGCCACTAGAGCTCCATGTGTAGATGGGTGGGAGCTGTTTTGTATTTAGGGTTGTAAACCTTTGCCTCCATAAAACCCCACTTTATCCCTCCATGTTTGAATAGCGCCATTCACGTGGCCTGCAAAATACCAGCCTTTTTTTTTTTCCTTTTTTTTTTTTTTCTGGAGACAAAGATAACCACTGCATTTGCAAGTTCCAGTCATGAGAAATTACTGTGATTTAAGGTTTTGACTTCGATACTCTATCAGTCTCTTTGTTGCCCGTGCCAAAGAGAGTTATAGGTCTGGTCCTTCCCCTGCCAACTTCAATGAGCTTTTATTTACCTCTGCTGTCAGCAGGAGCAGCGCTGGGCATGGTTTGTATGAGTATGTACCCTTCTCTGCAGGTTCCTCAGCCAAATGCATTACCACAGTATCTAGGCATCTCTGCTGTTTGTCTGTCAAAAAAGGGGGCCTTGGACACATCTCCTTGCTCTTACCCCTGTGGTAAGGAGAGAGTTGGCCCGCCTCGCACTTGCACACCCGGGTAGGCACGCAGCTTTCCCACAACAAGCAACAGGTGCTTTTCTCCCCAGGGGGAATAAAACCTGCAAGAGAAGAATATATCAGCACATTTCACACACCCCAGGGGAAGGAGAAGCAAAACGAATTCACTATTCAGGTTCCCCAGCCAGCAGTCTGGTAAACCTCTATTATTCAGGCATGACACAAAAGTAGTTTCCAACATTTTCTCACACTCTGGAGAATGTTTTTAACCAGGCCTTTCCTGCCTTGCTGATCTCACACTCTGCTTTTCCCTACCAGACTTGCCTGGCATCACAGGGTAAGTTTGGGGCAGTTAGCTCAGCTTTCGTGGCCAATTGCTAACTCAACCGTTTCCCAAAAGAAATAAGGAAGGACTTTGAATTGAAAATTGACTAACAGTTTATATGACAGCCCATCACAGATGGGCTCCTTTCCCTCCTATCCTGGAGGCAGGGATGATTTAATACAGCAAAAATGCTGCATTCCTGCAGAAGGCTTAGCTTTTGGACCTGAACTCTGGTTATGATCCTGTGGTGAGAAGTTATTAAGAAGAGAAATAGCCTCTCCTAAATGAGAAGCTAATTTTAATCCCCTCTTGCAATGAATACGCAAAGAAAACCCCACGTAGCGTCAGAGGTTTAAGGTACATTTCAGCAGCAAATAGACCATGCTTTGAAAATTAAGCAAACAATATCCTGTTTAAAAACGCAGCTGCACAACGTGAAGCTTTTTTATTTTTCTTAAAGAAATAAAGCTCGCAAGATTCCGTATGAGACAAAAGAGAAAGACACACTGGGGACATCACCGGCTGTCAGGAGGAGAAGAAGGGGAGGCAGCAACATTTTCTGCTGTGGGGTGTGCTAGTCCATTGAGTTGCCAGCCAGGGAAGTGATAATAACTCAGGCATGGTGTCAAGCTAGGCCGGACTAACGCTAAATGATGGTGCTGCATTGTTGGAGGCTCTTTCCTGTCCCAGCTGGGCCCCTCGGTGGCAGCCTGAATAGGAGGAAATGTAAAAGGATAAATTCCCTTGCCCGTAGCTGCACAGAGGCAGGAGTTCTGCCTTTCCTCAGCCCCAGTGGGACAGTCCCGGCCTGCATGCAGAAGCTCCATGGCCATCGTGGTGTGGCCTGGTCAGCAGGCTGCTGGTCAGCAGGGCGTATGAGATTTAACCCCTAAGGACTTGGGAGGCAACAGGACACAGCTCCTCCAGCCTCTGCTGTGTCTGCTTGGGAGATGGAGTGGTCACATCCTGTGTTGTTAATTCTGCCATGCCTTTTGCTGCTGTCAGGTCTGGGTTTCTGTAGCTGTATGGTGACCTGCCAGGCTGGTGCCCTAATTCTGCTTTTCCCCTTTGTATCCCATATGCAGAGAAGCAGAGGGAGCTGGCTCGGAAGGGCTCCCTGAAGAACGGCAACATGGGCAGCCCAGTTAATCAGCAGCCCAAGAAGAACAACGTGATGGCACGGACAAGGTAAAGGACTGGAAAACTCAGCTGTGCTCTAAGCTGCAATCCCTAATGGCCTTAAGATGGGCAAGGACAATGTTCATTGCCGTTCCCCTACTGCCAAATACACAGCAAGAGCAGCAATGGCCCTTCCCAAACTATGTGCTGTGTTGCATCCTGTCCCCTGGGGGGACGTGGGGACAGCTGGGCCCAGGACCAGTGACAATACAGCCAGCAGGAGGCAGAGGGAGGTCGCCCCAGAGAGTGGCTTTTACCTGGGCAGGCAGTGATAGGACAAGGAAGAATAGTTTTAAACCAAATGGGGAGAATTTAGATGAGATGTTTACCATAAGGATGGTGAGGCCCTGGCCCAGGCTGCCCAGAGGAGCTGTGGCTGCCCCATCCCTGGAGGTGCTCAGGGCCAGGCTGGATGGGGCTTTGGGCAGCCTGGGCTGGTGAGGCGTGTCCCTGGGTGAGCTTTCAGGTCCCTTCCAACCCAAACCATTCTGTGATTCTATGAAAATCAGGGGTTTGATATGTTTTACTTGACTGCTCTGGGCATCCTCATGTAACGTTGTATTCCTACCGGCAGGAGAGCAAACAGTGCTGCTTCATGGAACAGCAGACCATCTTAGAGCTTAGTTCTGACTTAGCTGCTTTTATCCCAGTAGTTCCCCTGCTTCTTTTTGAAAATGCCCTCTTCCCCATACTGATTAACTTAATGAAGACTTGTGTATAATTCGTCTCTGCATGCTTTGCTGTACACCTCCTCTGCACTGTGAACAGCGTGGTCATACTTTGCTGGGGCTGCTTTGGCTCATGTCTGTATGACAGCATCAGACAGTGCTACAAACCTCTGTAAACAAAGAATTTCTTACCTGAATACTTTCTTTCAGAGTATTTCTGTTTTATTTTCCATACAGGCATCAGTACAATTGTGTATTGTTTACCTACATTCTGGGGCAGGAACCCACTGAGTCAACAGGATTGCACTCTTTGCATGCTGTGAGAAAGGTGGCAGTTTTTATTGGAGAGTCTTATTTAAAATGAGAGCAGAATCTGCATTAAAGCTGGGTTTTTGTTGATGAATGAGAAACTTGCAATGGATTATCATATATTAAGTAGAACAGGAGCTGTAGGTGAGAGTCTCTCTGTGCAATGCATCCAACAGATGAGGTTTCTTGTTTCAAATTAGTTCCCGAAACCCACAACAGCAGTCATAAATCATGCCAGGACTTTGTCAAGTTTTATTTGTAAGCACCTGTGATGTTGGTGAAATATGCTAGCCTGCTCACTGCTCCAAATCTGGTTGTTGAGACCACGTAAAGGTGCCAGGCCTTTACTGGCAGTAAGAAATTATGCAAATGCTTTCAGCTGGGTTTTCCATGCCCACTGCTCCTCTTTGTTTCCCAAACGCAAGCTGGGAAGACTTGGATTCTTTTGACCTTAGCCTGCACAATAGCTTCCCAAGAGGAATGGTAGCAGATTTGCAGCTTTAGAGATTTAGAAACGCTGAAATTAGTGGAGGAAGATAGTAAGGGAAGAGGACAAGATAAGTGCAGATGCCTACTTGTAAAATTGGTGACTTTTGACTGGAGGGGCTGCTGCTTCAGAGCTGCCAGTGGAAGGAAGAGTGTTTTGGTTTGGGAAGGGCAGAGCACTGAGGACCATGGACAAAAGCTTTAGAACAGACAGCTCAGTTTTATTCCACTCATGGACATCTGAGCAGTGTTCAAAGATGTGGAGACCCCTGCACAGCCAAGCTAAGCCTGCTGGCAATAGGCTTGCATATTTTAGTAACTTTTCACACAGCTTTTAGAAGCTTCCTTTGGGATCTGAAAAACACAGGTTTGCAGCAACTGCTTTAGTAGCACATGTAGCCAAGCTCCGTTGCTCCCATACAGCTGGGAGATGCCTGGCACAGGCTCTTGCTGGCCCATGATTCCTCATCCCCCAGCTCCCTTGGCTTTCTGGGAACCAAGCATCACTCTGGGCACAGCCCTCACGACACCTCTGACCTGCCATAGACAGGGCAACCCCAGGAAGGCAGAAATGCCACAACCTTGTTCACAAGGCTGCAGTACAATGAGAAACTCCAGTGGGATACACAGCAAAACATCCAGGTTCTAGTTGCTCTTTACGTCTGAACTGTTGGCTTCTTCCATGCTCTGAAGGAGAAGAAGCTGAAGCCATTTCCCCTTTTTTTTTGCTCTTGTCCTCATCAGATACGTTTTCCTTCATTCAGGCAAAGTGTATTGCTTCTCCTTATCCCTGTCCCACTTTCTCCTCCTTCCCCAAGGCCATTGTTCTTCAGTATTACTTGTATGAATTTCTGAAATACGACCTCTGGTACCAGGTTGCCTTCATCATTCAATCTTCTCCTGAGGCAGGGGCACAGCCAGCCTTAGAGGTGAAAAAATCTGGATCTGTAACATGCTCAGCCTCCCTAAGAGCAAATAAAATGTGAACAAGGTTGGTGTGATGCTGGCAATCCCCACTGCAAGCACAGGCAGAGCCCACAACACCATCTGCACTACTTCTACGCAGCCAGATACTGTAGTCCACTCTAAGAATACACTAAACTCAGATGTTGTTGTAAAACATTCCACGTTAAGCAACCAAAACCACCCAGACAAAATGCTCATACCTGCAGATGAAAGCAGGTATAACTCAAACCCAGCTTTGTTCCAAGGACACTGGGAAGCAAGAAAAAAAAGGCAATCAGGATGCAAGAAGAAGGCTTAAATCAGGGACAAAAACATTATCACAGTTTTAGCCTGTGGCAGAAAAGTTGGAAGTTTCATTACTAAGAAAAAAGGCATTTCTCAACAAAAAGATGTAGTGATTTGTTTTAATCAAGTAAGTAGCACCACAAAGGGCTGTTCTCCTTGATCCCCTGATGGTGCTTTGTTCATTCACAATGTAGTAACAATTGTCAGTGACTGCGTGTGGAGCTGTGACGTGAAAAATGGAGAGCAGGCATGGGAGTGAATGCCTCTGGTATCCGTGCAGGCAAGCTGCTGCTGCCAGATCACAGCTTCTGTTTTAGTTCCAGACATCTTTGCTTCTTGACTTCCTTCCTACATGCTTTGTAGGGAGCAGAAGGAACCTCTGGAGGATATGGGAAGGGGTTTTGCATTTTGCAAGTGGATCCCATTTTCTGCAGTTCCCTGATGCAGCAGGCTGGAAATACTGCATCATCAATTAATTTCTTTAGCCTTGCATTTCAATGAACGCAGTAAGAAAATGCAACTAGTCGTGAGCCTATACATCTGCTTTGTTACAACATTTCATGTATTTTGTTCTCCATGAGCTTTGCCCTTCTTCAATGCCTTTACATTACTAAAATCATAATGGCTTTCTGAAACTTTCTGAGCAGAAGCAGAAGAGCTTTGCAGCTGGTTAAAGGGCAGTTAGAGCATGGATGAGACGGATTATCAGTTTTAGACTTTCCCAGACTCTTAGTGAAGCCCTGCTGCATCATTGTATTGTTAAAGACCAGTCAGTCATTTGGGAGAGAATCTGATTTAACCCACTGAATAAGGAGATTTCTGTGATTATCTTGCAGTTCCCACCTGCTGAGCATAGTACCTTGCTCCATTTGCTGAGTCTGGTTGATCTTATTTTAAATATGAACTCAAGTCTTTGTGCAATTTTGTGGATGAAATAACTGTTGTGAGCTGGATACCATTGAATGATATATATTCCTTATGCTAGAGGCTCTGAAGTCTATATTCCATTCCACAGATTCCCTCAGGCAATTAAAGGTGCAAAGTCATCATCAGCCATTGTAACAGTTCTGATGAACTGAAAGTCTTTATAGAATAATGGGATTCTAAAAGTGCTAGTCAGACGGGGCTCTTACACTGCACCCATTTCTCATATTATTAAAATTAGGGGTGAGACTTCACAACTGCTGTGTTATGGGGGCTGGGTAGAGACTCAGGTAGAAAGACCAAATCCCTGATTTCCAATCCTAGAATACCTTCCCCTAGCTAGAATACCTTCTCCTGCTTATTTATTGCGAATGCCACATACTAATTGCTAAGAAAAAAAAAAAATCAGTACAGAAGTCTGACAAGGCAAGCACTGTGAACTGAACAGTTTCATCAGAATGAAGCCCAGAGTGTCCCAGTCATTTTGCCTTCCAGGGAGGAGTGTGTTCCCAAGGCATGTCCAGTGTCTGTCCCTGTAAATCTGCTCTGAGCTACCCAGAGACACAGCCTGCCTCCTCTGAATTGCACCTATTTAAATGTCTTCACCAGTAAGGGAGGACTTGCAAAGAAATGAAAAGGGAAAAGCCTAATTTATGACTTTGATATGACTATGTGTGGTACTGAGCTTTACTTTGTGGTTAACGGAGAACATTTAATTATTTCAGGCTCGTCGTTCCCAATAAGGGCTATTCGTCATTAGATCAGAGTCCAGATGAAAAGCCACTGGTAGCCCTGGATACGGACAGGTATGCAAAGTGATAATAAGATATTTGTTATGGTGTGAGCAAGTTTTCATGACAGAGCACAGCACTGGAGCTAAATCCTGCTGAAACCATTCTTGCAGACCACTTGCAGCCTTCCTTGCTGTGCCCTTTGGCATACACCATAATTGGTCTGTGTGTGTAAACAAGCAGGAAGAGATGAGAGTAAAGAGCACTTTCATGGAAATGTCTGAGGTTCACAGATGAAAGTTGCTCTCCAGGCTCCCTTGATGCAAATTGTCTGTGCCTAAAGGACAACTTCACAGCAGAAGAAAGATAGGACTAAGCAGGGAATTCAGGTCTCTTTAACTGTTTTCTTCTTTGCTGTCTTGTCCTTCCCTGCAGTGATGATGACTTTGACATGTCCAGATATTCCTCCTCGGGATACTCATCAGCTGAGGTGAGTTACACTCTCTCTTGCCATCCTTGCCATGAATGCTGATAGTAGGGCATCCAGAAATGGCTTAGAGTGGCCTTTTGCAGCCAAAAATGGCTACACAAGGAATTTACCAGTGGTATAAACTCTGTGAGTCTGGAAGGGGCCATGGCAGAAGCTGTGTCATGTTTCCTTCTTCCCCAGTGATCTAGTTGGCTCTGTCCCCACACCGCCACACCACAGGCAGAAATTTGCCCGTCAGCTTCACTGAAGTTTTTCCCAGTTCTGCTCAGTCCTGCAGTGCTGGCCCATGTGGTGCAAAAGCATCCACTTGTCTGTCGTGGCAGCTCAGCAACCATCCACTTGCCAAGTACACAAATAAAGGAGCTGAGGGTGTGCTGTCATTTCCAGTTCTTGTGGGGGTCAGGGTCACCTGGAGGGTGTTTATTTGGAGCAATCAGAAATTCCAAAGAGGACTTACAGATATGAACTCTTGCCCTCTCAGAGAGAAATGGCAGGAAGTTCACGTTTGTTAATCCCTTGCATTGTTTCTGAATGTATTCCCAAGCTCTCCGGTGAATTAGCTGCCCAGACTCTGGGTGCTGCTTCTGTAGGATCTGATTTACAAGCAGGGTGCTGAGCAGACATTCTGCACGCAAGCTGCTGGAAACTGTTCCCCCTTGCATCCCTTCCTGGGGCAAAATCTCTCTGAAGTGTGCAGAAACAGCCCAGAGCAGGGACCAGGTCAAATGATCTGGGCAATCTGTGGGCCCTGATTGAAAGGGTTTTTCACCCAGAGCTGGCTAGATAGCACTTGAATCTGAGATTACAGAGAGCCATGTGGCTTTACCACCACCTTTCAACTGCTGTAGTGCTCCAGACTGAGCAGAGGGACTACACAGCTCCCAATTGTTTTATTATCATTATTTCCCATTTTAAATATAGGAAATATTACATATCTTTCCCATATTGCATGTGTGAGATATAATCCAGAATAAGGGACCTCCTTCCTCTTCCGACCTGTCAGAAGCAAGAAGCCTCAAGTATTTGACTGTTTGTCTCTTTGTCTGTAGCAGATCAACCAAGACTTGAACATCCAGCTGCTAAAGGATGGGTACCGGTTAGATGAGATCCCAGATGACGAGGACCTCGACCTAATCCCCCCTAAATCGGTCAACCCTACCTGCATGTGTTGCCAAGCCACCTCCTCCACCGCCTGTCACATCCAGTAGTGAGGCCGGCAGGCTGTGATCAGTGCTTTCCACTATAACTGTAAAACTTAACAGCCATTGCTTCCTCCTATGGTAGGACGTGCACCTCTTTGTGTTCATGGAGCCAGGAGAAACCAAAAAATTCATTTTATGATTGGTTGATAAGTTATTTTAAACTATGGTTAAACAAAAGAGTTAAACTCAAAGTGCCAGGCAGTGCCTGGCAGAACTGACTGGTCCGGGGAGCGGATGCAGAAGGGTCCGAGATACTTCTGGGTTTGTGTGGGCACCAGAGATGTTTTGTAAGGTGTCAGTTCCAGAATGGGAAGGATAGGATGGGGCTGCAGTTAATCCTACCCTCTAAAAACAACCCATTTGCAAGATCAGGGTGAGTCTGAGGTGTCAGGGGGGTTTGCCTGGAGTCAGTTCTTAATTAGTTCACTAAGCCTCATTTGCCTGTGTAACCAAAATTACACCGTGACCAGGGCACAGGAATGGCAACAGAGCAGGGCATCCTTTCTTATGGCAAGTCAAGCCAGGAATAACATGACACAATTTATTCACTTTCAAAAAGGGTGAGTAGGGGGCATTTCTCTGTGAGTCAGTACCAGCTGGAGCTGTTGTGTCACACACCCGTTGCAATCTACCCTTAGCACCACATGAAATTATCACCAAACACATCAGATTTGATTTGCAATCCATCCATACCCTCTGTAGATTCAGTCCTTGCCTGAGAATACCATAATCATGAATTCAATTCAGTTGAATACACTGACTTCAGCTTCTACTCAATTCCTGCGAGAGCCATCTGCTTCCAAAAATCTTAAACTTTGTTCAGCTAAGAAAAAATGAGTCCTGCGTAAGACAGGACTCGAGCTGTACAGTCTGAAGGTCAGTGCTGAAAAAGACAGTTGAAGAAAGCATATTTTTTAGAGCTCGGCTGTTGGTACTCTTGACAGTGCATCTCTTGGTGCCTATGGGAGAGATTTGTTAACGTGCTGGTGTCAGACTTTAGGGGAGTTTTCAGCAACAGAGGGATTATGAGTAGATTCAGCTGAAAAAAGCCGTGAGAGGGAACTACTGTTTATTGCATCTCTGTCCCCTTGTGCACCAAACTTTGTCTGTTAGAGCTGTCCCACCTCAGGAACAATTATGTTTATTTGATGCTGGAATAGTCAGGAAACCTGGCATTATGTTAGATTTCTGGACTGAATTGCCAGTTCACCAACAGATTGTTTTAAATGCAAAATCATTTCTGGAATTAGGAATATGTCCTTTCCCTTTTCAGTTTTACACTGCTAGCTTCAGAAGACATGGGACTCAGATGATGGGTGGGCTGGCGTCTTTCTCTGAGGTGAAATCTTTTGACACAGCCACGTCAGTGTCTTTTCGTGCTCAGCCAGAAAGAAAGGCTGCCTGCCTTACATTAGTGCTCTCTTTAGAGCCTGGTGGGAAGAAAAAGTGAAGGCAATTCTGTTTCCCATCAGAATTCCCCTGAGCCACGAGAAAGAGCCAGATCTCCACCCTGAAGTACAGATCCCCCATATGAGATTAGCACATCATGAGCTGACTCTTTAAGAAGTTCTCTGGGTGATGAGGAGGACACTTACTTAACATCACGCGTTTTTACTCTGTGCAGTGCAAGGCATGATGTCATCCGCAGCATGAGCAAAAGAGCAGGCATACAGGGCTCCTGGGCTTCATTATTCATCAGCTAGCTGCAGGCAACCCTGAAAGCTGTGTTTGCCCCCTCCCCAAAGCAGGGACTGTTGCCCTGTCTGCCAGGGAACAGAAAGAGGATGGAGCAGACTTGTTTACTGAGCATCTCTGCCTCCTTGTGCAGAAGTGCTGGTTAACTTGCCAACTCCTCTAGGGAGAGAGTGTTCCTCTATTGAATTCCTCTCACTTTCTCATCACATGGCAGTGCTGAGGGGGAATATTTCAAAAATGTTTTTAAAGAAGCACAAAGCTTCAGCTCCCCAATTCCTTGCTTCTTTTGTGTGCCAGCCTTCCCCTCCAGTGCTAGTTCGGGTGTGAGATTAGCAAGTTGTCTGCAGTGGGGAGAAGAGCTGTAACAGCACTGTGTGGGAAGAAGAGGTAAAAGGGAGGAAAAGCTTGAGGAGTCTTTCTTTCAGATGGGGAATGTAGTCAAAACCTAACAGAAACCCCATGGTCAAACTAAATCCTACAGGACATGGCCAAGTCTCTTTAAAGGTTCACACTTCTAAAGCAGGAGTTTGCAGTTCAGCGTTGGTACCATGCAATATCCCCATTGCACTTATCCTCCTGGGTCGGTGTCTGTGCCTTCCAGGCAGGCTGCACGCGCTCAGCCTTTCCCGCAGGAGCTCGGGGCATTTTGGTGAGCCTGCTCAAGCAGCGAGGTATCTGTTTCTGTTGGTTAACCTTGGCAGACTGCACGTCCCACAGATCTCCATCAAACCACCTTTGTCTTGGGACAAAGATGGAAGGAGACCTGCTGAGATTGTGTCTCCCAGGGCTGTAGCTTCCCCTCTGAAGGACAGACTTTTCCTATAACGACTGCTAAGTCCTTTCATTGCCCGTGTTGCTGTTTTTTGCCTGCTGTGTGCTCTGAGGCATTCCCCAACCCCACAACCCTGCAACCGCCCTCCACCCTTTGCATTGTGTGATGTGCACCTGCTTCCACCATAACCCCTTAAGGTCCCTGGGAGGGAACTACTCATTTGCACATGTGAGGGAGGGAAATGAATTTAAATGTGAACTAGGCCAGTGCTTCCTCCAAATACAGACAGAAGCACAAGCCAAGTGTTTATTCCCTGCTCACAGAAGGAGCTGGTTGCACAAATAGCTGGTTTGGCACAACAGTAAAGGACCATAAAATGGCAATTTTTTGGCTTCTCCTCTCTATGCTTTGTGTTCATATATTTTATTAGGGGAATAAAGTAGAAAGGGTGGGGAAAAGTAGTTACCTGTGTAGGGTCATTATCAGGAAGGCTGAATGGATTAAGGCAATGCACGTGTGGCTATCATAGAAAACTGACCACTAACCCTTCTGAACTGCAGCCCCTTAATCAGGTTATGACCATGGGGCACGTTTGTTGGCTCATTACAGATTATGATGGACAGCCCAGCAGTGTGTGTTAACAGCAGATTGATTGGCTTGGCTCTCCCTGTCTGGTCTCGTGTTCAGACCTTTGTTTTGGCCAGAAGGTTTTCCTTGTGCCCTCACTGGAGGTTGTGGGAGCTTCCCAGGAAGGAGGTGGTTGTTGGTACATGGTTGTTCTGGCGCTGCTCTCGTTATACAAGCAGCATATCTGCTGCCGTGGCATGGAGAAGGCAAAAGCAAACAGCACAGCCCCTGACTCTTTGTTGCAGCATTAGAAAGCCCTAAAATCTGCAGAGCTGCTGGGTACTCTTCAAACTGCAGGTTGCTTGCAAGAAAACAAATCGTTCCTTGTTCCAGTCTTTGCACCAAACCATACGGTCTTCTCAGGCTTTATTTTCAGTCCAAAATGTACAGAATACCAGGGGGAGGAGCGCCGTGGGGTATGAAAAGCTGCATTAAAGTCCATCTAAATTACCACGCAAATAGGATAACTTCCTTATAGTGATGCTGGCACCTCTAACAAAGGAATTTGCATTTGGTGCCTCCTAAAGCCAGATTGGCTTTTTTAGCTAGGGTTTTAAGTAATTTTAGTCACCAAATTATCTGAGTTTGGGCAAATCATTTCCTTTTATCAGATGTTAGTTTAGTCCTTTCATGTAAGCTGGCTTTGGACTGCAAGGTCTCAGCACTCAATTCTTGTCTCTCCAATCAGCCTGCAAACCCCCCCATTTCCAGATGTCTGTGTGAGGGGAAGTATCCCCCCAGTGTCGAGGAAGGGCCCTAGATAGCATGGTCTAGTCTGCTTTTCCCCTAGTTGTATAAATAACCTTTGGCTGAAGGAAGGCTGATGTCCAGGTGACCATCCCGGAGGCTCATTTGATGTCCCATCAGGCATATCTTGAAGCTGACCTTTGAAAGAGCCACTGGATCATATATGATGTTGCTGCACATCTACCCCCAATGCGTATATTCGGCTGTCAGGTCTATTCTGCTCTTCTGGCCATCCTGCTTGCAGATACCTGGCGATTGCAAGAGCAGGAAGCCAAGCCTGCTGCACAGACTTCGTAAGGGGCTTGAGGATGCTGTGCTCACCCACGGACAGGACAGACTCAACTGCTTCTGGTTTGGCTCTCCGTCTCCTTTCCCAAAAGGAGACAGCTGCTCTGCTCAGCTGTGTGCTGGCTGACACATTGATCTGAGATCCTGAGCAGAAACCTTCCCTCTCCATGCAGAGTCTGTCCTCAGGCTGGCCTGCAAGCTGTACAACGGCGTGCAGGAAGCTTGAAAAGTGCAGCACCCTGTATGTGACTCAACAGAAACATGAAGATGCTTTTGAAGGAAGGAAAGACCCAGCTGGGCACCAGATGGAACAAGAGAAGAAAAACAAGCAATAACTGGAAAGGTTGCCAAGTGCTGCCTTGGCCTAGGGCAGATCCCAGTTGTCCAAGCTAATCTATCTCAGTGCAGTGCTGATACCAAGCAAAGCTTGTTTTCAGATGCATACACCAGAAACACCATGTCCCTGAGCTAGCACTGCAGCCAAATACTACTGCAGAGAGTCTGCTGGACCATCAGCGCACAGAAATGAGATCTGGGGTCCCTCGCTGCTTTTGGCACGTGTGTTTGCTCCTACCCCAGGCAGGTCACATCCCCTCTTGACATCCATGCCCTTCTGCAGCGCAGGGGAGAAACCATCCTTCCCCGGCCACCACCACCCTGCATGGATGTTGCCAAGTGTGTGGCAGGCACCATTAATAGGACAGCTCTGCAAGCAAGGATCAAATTGAAGCTATAAAAGTTTTACACGTATTTTCAAAGTTCTGCGAAGCAACACAATTCTCCTTTCCCTCTGTTCACCAGCGTCTCATGTTGCTTGCATGTGCCAGAAGGCTTCAGGGTAAGCTTAGTATAGAGATTAAATGGCTTTGGGTGCAGATGTTTGGCAAGGGGAGGTTTCCCAGTTATTTGGCTGCTGGCTCGTGCACAGCTGGCTACTTGATATGCACCCTGACACAGGCAGCATGTAAGAATTGGTGGTCCAACAGCACCATCCCCTGCTAGCAGACTTAAGGAATTTAGGAGTGCAAGTGGGTTTCCAGCTCAGATAGTGAATTTTAATTGGGTGGAAGAGATCACTGAAGGGCTTATCTGGGATATTCCCAGGGAAGTTTCATACTTTTATATTCAGCATGTATGTAATGATCTGAGGCACTTGTGTCTGCGCTCTTCCTTTATTTTTCCATTCTTCCTTGAAGTACTCACACGGTATGGCCACTCTTACCTAGGACAGAACAGGCTTTGTCACCTGTCTGTTCAGCAAGCACAGGCTGCATGTGCCACCCTGAACATACCCTGGCTTTGGCCCCTGGCACCCTTCAGAGCTGACTCTTCACAACTCACTTCTCTTTCTAGTTCTCATGTCTCAAAAACACCTGCAGAGATGGGCAGAGTGCCACAGGGGAAGCTGGACCAGGCTGAGCCAGAGGGGCAGGCACGGGAAGGTCTTCATTTTAAGGTGCTTTTCACCTCAAGGAGGACAAGGCATCCTTGTCACTTCTTGTTGAGGCCTTGTGCGAGGGGCTGCTCCAGACCCTGAACCGCACCTCACCAGATGAACCTGCCTGTAACAGAGCCACACAAACCCTGAAGCAGGAGGGCCAGAGGCTTAGAGGAAGAGATTTAATGACAGACTAACCATGTGTTAGTCTGTCATTAAAAAAACTGCTTCCCAAAAATTCACTTCCCGAAGATTACAGGTACATCCCCTCCTTCAGCCCCCGTGACACCAGTGGCAGTCCCAGGATCACAGCAGCCTGGCTGAGCGCTCCTCTAACAGCTTGCTTGGAAAGCAAGGGCCAGGGGCTAATGGAGGTGACATGGATCAGAGCATTGTGGCCCACGCAGGCATTCAGGAAGCCACAGCACGGAGCAGGACATCACTGACTTCCCCTGGCGCCTGCGGTGAGCAGCTCTTCCCTGCTCCCCAGGCCCAGTTGCCAGCAGAAACTGGTGGTGGGTCTGAGGCTTTCTCCTCTGTAAAAAGCCGCTTCAGCAAACGATGGGTTTGCTCCGGGAAGGAGCTCGCCTGGCTGATCGTGCCGGGTCTGTGAGGCAGCCATTTCCATAGTAACCAGTGGCGACAGAGGCGGGGGGATTACATCAGGGAGTGAAGGTACAAAAGAAGCCTCATTGAAATGTGGCTGTCTCAGGCGTGGCACTGGAAACCAACACAGTAGGCACCAGGAAAAGAAAAGGCCATGGAAAGGCCATGCTGAGCTAAGTCCCGTTACATGCCGCGATGTTTGCCCTCCCGGAGCAGCATTTCTCCCCAAGCTGCCCATTCAGCTGCCCCAGGTCAGGTCTCCAGAAAGCACTGCTCCGCACAGACTGCCTTCTCTTTTCTGCACCAGTCCCAAAAAAGCTGCCATTCACATTTGTTACTCATCTTCCTCAAGGCTGCATGATCTGGGAAAGGCAAAATTTATCGGGAGATGTAATCCAGACCCACAGGGAGATGAAAAATTTGGACAAGCTTTCCTCTTCACAGCAGCCCTTCTGGTTTTTGTTACTTCTGCCTCCTTCCACAGCTCAGATTTCTTTGCATGGGGATAGCAGGTGCGTTCAGCTTGTCAGTGACAAACCCAAGGCAAACATCAGACCAGCAGGAGACCCAAGAGGCGTGATGGTGGGTGAGCCAGCGAGCCGGATGGGATTTCTCTTCACCCACCTGAGTGGCCAGGGGAAGGCCGTGGGGCTGAGGGTCACCCAGGCAAGTTTAAAACCTTGGTGTGAGCCACCAAGCCCAGCTGGGTGCCGTCACCCTTCCAGCATCAGCACCGTGGGCACACTGGGACCCAAGACCCCAGTCCAAGACCTGCCTGAGTCCAAGACCCTCAGGCAGGCAGAGGTGGAAGTCTGTCAGTGGTCCCCTTCTCAGCTGTGAAACACGCTGGCAGGGCTGTAGTTCTGTAGAGAGAACAACTCTTGCAGAGGATGAAGTCTTTGCAGGGGAGAAATTTCAGGAAGATATTCCCCCCCATCCCTCCTTCTCGCACATTTTTAACCATTTTAACCCCTTCCACAGGGGTCATTGAACCTTAATAAAGAAGGAAACGAAGCACCATTAAATAGCTTTCTAAAGGGTTCTGGAAGCAGGCGCTGCTTGCATGCTGAGCTGGTCTGTGTCTACCGTGTGACTTCCAGACCTCATGGCATATCCTGTAGCTGAGTCCCCTGGAGTGCTGTGTGGGGACTAGGGTGGGAGAACCAACACTGACCATGACATCAAACATCACATCCCAAACTAGAGAAGGGTCGTATAAGGGAAGGGGGGAAAGCAGCAGCAGTGATAGAAGTATAACTAGTTGTCGCAGGTAAACTTGGGTATCCGTGTCCAGTGGTTAGTTCTAGAATTGCAAGCCTTGTTATATTGCACACGTCCTCCTTTCACTCCTCTTTTCTCAAAGCAGCCATCCTCTTTTTTTTTTTTTTTCTTCCCCCCTTGAACTTGTGATGAGCAACAGAGGCAGTTGCACCAGAATGACTCTCAGCCCAGTTCTGCATCCCCCCCTCCCACCCAAACCCAAGGCAGTCCGGACAGCTGTTGGCCATCACAATTCTTAATTTTTAGTAACTCCACTTGGATTTCTTTCCTCGTGTACCATGGCTTCTTCCACAAGCACCCCAGCAGGGCAGCACAGGAGGCTCTGACCATGTCCCAGGAAGCTTCTTTGCCCCTGGCAGCACCTTGCAGACTTGCACCTTACTGGGAACGTACTGGGTCGATGCTGGTGAGATCTGGCACTGCCAATCTTGCGTACGTGGCAGCTGATGGGAATCCACCGGGAGAAGCTGGCAGGAAGTGGCTACTGTCCCTTTTCTTTTCAATTTTGATGGAGAGGGGGATTTTTTTGGCATTAAGATTTTTGTCCACCTTCCAGTGGCCAAGTTCTGGGCTGCATTAATAATTGGGGTTGGTTGGCTGTCCAGGCAGGTATGGAGCTTCACACCAGCTTTTGATAGCAAATGTCACAGCTGCATCCACAACCTGGCTACAGGCTGGGTTTCTCCTGTGCTGGCAACGAGCAGGCTGCGCTTCCAGCAGGCTCCAGATAACCTGGCAGGTGGGGGGACAGCCCTCTTAGAGTCCGGATCAAGTCCGAACTTCCATTTCATGTCCTCAGCTTGAAAGAAACTAAACCCAAGCAAATGCTACCAAGATCTCCTTCCACCACGCGGTGCCTGGCGCCCAGGGGAGGGGTTGGCGGGGGGCATTTGTGGGTCACTGCAGATGGGATCCTTCTGGGATATAGTTAATGGAAATGCCTTTCAGGAGAGACCTCCCGACCTTTGCGTTAATCTCAGAACAGGGGATGAATTTCTGGCTGTCCTTGCATATAGTGAAACATAGCTGAAACAGCCAAATGCAAAGTAGAGTTAAATGTAGGGTTTGACCTGAATAACCTTTTAATTAGGAAGATAAATTTGTTGTAGCTTGACTTTAGTCCATGTTAGGAACCTGCTAATCATTTGACATGCAGAGTGTATTAATGCTGCACTTAACTTGGCCATTGGTTTTATTATCTGGTTTTGGGAGTTTTTTACTCCTGAAGCATTAATCTGCATCTTGTATGGATTCTTTTTCTTTCTTCCTATTCAGAACATGTAGCACACTGTTGTACTTCTGTTCCCGTCCACGTAGAGTATTGCCTTAAACAGATCAGTTGTGTTGTGGTTTGTTTTGGGTTTTCTTCTTTTTCTACCATCAGTTTTATGCATTAATTTATTTAAAAGTATGTTTTTTTGGAAAAAAAACATGAAGCGTATAATATTTTTTTTTAACATTTCCATTGCAGTATTTATCATTGTTACTGTTTGTGTGTAGTGTAACAATTAATGATATTAAAAAGCATACATATGAAAACCAGCCTGCCAGCCTTTGTCACCGGGGCGAGCCGGACAGCGGGGTGGGAGGACATGAAATGCACCATCTCTGCAGCCCCAGCCCTCGCCGAGGCTGAAACCACAGGTGGACAAGTGGACGGGGAGCAGGAGGTTTTGTACTGATGTACCCTTGTTTGGCCTCCAGCTCAAGGAAAACAGGAGCTCTCCTGGGAGTGGGGTGGCCCCGGGGAGCCATCTCTGATGATGAGGGGATTTTGGAAGCCAGCCCTGGCCTTCCCCATGAGGAAGCATCTCAGAAGACTGCTCCTCTCGCTGTGACACCCTGGCTGATGGGCTCTGTCTGCAGAGGCAGTCCCACTGCCTTCCAGCCCCCGGTTCCCTCCCGCCCCCATATCAGCCGATGATTTAGGGCTGCCAGTGAGTAATGGAGAGGAGCTGGGCACTGAGCCCAGGACCCCTGAGGGAGGTGCAGCAGTGCCACCAATGCCTCAATACCGTCAACTGCTGCTTTCCTGCCAGTTACTAATGCAAACCCATGGGCAAGAGGCTCACAACTCGAATTTATCCCATTAACGAGCAAGCCACTGCCCCTTTTTGCCCCATCGGGTCCACCCCACACGGACAAGCAGATTCTACCCAGCTCCCAGGAGGGATGAAAATCGGTGGCATCTTGGGGAGCCTCAGGACGGAGGTGCCCAGGGCAGGGGGGTCCTGCTTGGCATCTTTTGGGCAACAAGTACACGTGGTTCATGTAAATCCCTCCCCTGGTATAACCTGGCTGGTGATGCTGGGTGAGGATCAATCCCTCCACCAGCCCTGCAGAGCATACCACAGCACTCGGGATAGCAAACGAGCCGCTCACAGTCACCCAAATCCAGCTTTTTAATGAAAAGGGAGAGAGCTCACCCGAGCAGGCAGTAATTCCCCTGGATACCCCAAAGTGACCGACCAGTGCCACAGTCCAAGTGTGGAGCCCCCTGCCATGCTGCACGGTGGTAGCTGCAGCACTGTGGTGCTGCTTCGGGATTTCCAATGAAATACAGGAGAGAGGGGCTGGAAAGGCAACAATTACTGCGATGCCTGGGAGTCCCTAAACCTTTCACAGTATCTTGACCAGGACCTGCTGAAATTGTTCCCTACCCTTGTTAATTTAATTGCCTGAGAGAGGGGAAGAAACCTGGGGCCAGGGGGATGCCCATGTCAGAAGGGACGGAGAGAAGATGGGAGGGGAGCAGGGATGGGTCGCTGTGCCCTAATCCAGCACATGCTGTCCCAGGGAGCGCAGCCATGGCACAGAAATCCCCAATGGCCCAAATCCCCCCTGCTGCCACACTATGATGTCACTGACGGCATCAGCACCACCAGAAGCTGGTGGCACCGAGGCCCCATTCCATTTCCACGTAGGGCCACGTGGGCAGGGAGACCCCAGCCCCACACAGTGTTGCTGAGCCCCCCCCAAAACCCACCAGGACTCAGCACCCCTGTGGCCACAGCACCATGTTCCTCTTCGCCCAAAAATACAAGACCCCCGTCAGCACCTACACCGACTCCTACCGCCCACCGTGCACCCTGAAGAAGTCGATCCACGAGAAGGCCCCGCTGCAGCTATGGAAAGAAAACAAGTTTGTGACCCAGGTAAACACCTCGGGGTTTCTCCCCCAGCAAGGGGGAGGTGAATGGGGGCACCTCGCTTTCTGTAACAGAGGGGGTTCGTGTTCGCTGGTCAGCAAAGTGTCTGACACCTCCCAGCCCGTGCTCGCTGGCTTTTTGTCCCCTGGGCTTGGTGTGTGCCTGTGGGGCTGCACCCCGGGGTGGCTTTGGGCTCGTAGGGCACAGCCCCAAAGCTCCAGCTGGGAGCCCTGTGTGCCAGCAGGACCCCGTGAACTCCTGAGCACAGCAAAACCTCTCCCAGCCCTGCTCCAGGACAGATCCCTGAGCCGTGGCCTTGCCACAGCAGGGTCCGTGTGTGCCATGGCCTGGCAGCTCTCACCACACAGCCCGACAAGCAGGCAGGCTCTGACACGAAGGACACCACATCTCTTTCAGCCTCACTAGCATGTGCATTGTAATTAGAGAGCCAGCAGAGGGCACAGAGATGGATGTCACTGCTGTGCGGGGACAGAACAGGCTCAGAAATGCTGGGCGACCCCAGCCCTCTCGGTCTCTGCCAGCTGTAGGGGACCGGCTTTGTCTCATAACTCATTTCCCTACTGCTGCTGGCCCCATACGTGGTGTCCCTGGTGCACCCACCCCAATCTCTGCCTTACTGCGAGCCCCGATGCCCAGGAAGGCAGGTGCTGCTGTGTCACCTGGGCATCTCTCCCCGCTCTTTGCTGCCTCTAGGGATTAACGGTGCCCCAGGACCGAAATCCAGCGAGCCAAGGTCAGCCCGACAAGCTGATTAAGGCAGTGATGCAGGAGTACTTGTACAGGAACGCCATCGACCCCACCGCCTACTGGCCAGAGAAGTACTGGCTGACCAGGCCTGAAGGTACCACAAGGTCCCATCCCGTGTCACACAGGGCATGTCCCCAGGAGCCACAGGTGGGGAGCTGAGGATGCTGGTGTGGCTCAGTCCATCCCTCCTTTTGCATCCTGTGTTCCCCTGGACAAAGGGACACCCACTTGGCATCTGCACTCATGGCTTTGCTGCAGCCACACATCCCCATCCCCATCCCCATGCTGAGGTCCCCTGGGCTCGCTCCACTGGCAGTCTCCCAAAACCTGTGGTGGTTGATGATGCCTGGACACATCCCTCTGGGCACCCCTTGGCCCAAAGCTGCATTCAAAGCAGCAGCTCCTCTGAAATACCCCTGAGCCCATGTCTGTGGGACATGGGAGGTGGTTGGGACACTCCAGCCATATCCCCATGGATATCCCCAAAGGTGGCTGCGCGCCCCATGGGCCACCCCTGCCTGTCACCTTCACATTGCAGAGAAGTACAACCCAGTTTTTGTCAACGAGGACAAATACATCACCTGGAGAGCAGGCCCCTACAACAGCGCAGCCTGGAACAAGTACAGCACCTACCTCCCCCTCCCACCCAAGGTAGGGCCTGGCTCCTCTTCCCCCCTAAAAAACTGGAGCCCTGAGGGTGCCACCAACACCTCAGGCTCTGCACCAAAAGGGTGGCAATGCTGCAAGGGCTGTGATCACTCCCTGCAGGAGAAGAGGATGGAGAACTACCTGCGCAGCATCCCCGTGCCATACCCTCCAAAACCTGCCTGCCTCAACCAATACGGTAACTGCCCTCACACGCAGCTCCAGCTCTTGCCGTGCCCGTGCCATCCAGGTGCTGAGCTGCTTGGTGATCTCCTCCTCGCCCCTTATCCTCGCCGTCCTTCTGCTTGCAGAGCGGGAGGTGGTTGCTGACATGCTGCGCAGGCTGTCGCGGCTCTCGCCGCCGTCCCTGCAGCCTGTATACACCATGTCGGGGAGGAGACCCTTCCAGGGCTACTACAGCCCCTGCTCCGGGCGCCACTACTGCCTGCGAGGGATGGACTACTACGTCGATGGGGACGCTGCCATCAGGAGCCATCTCAACACGCTAGCAGAGAGGACTGTAAGGTTGGGTTGAGATGGGACGGGTGGGGTGGGATGAGTTGGGTTGGGATGGGATGGGGTGGGATGGACACGGCTTCCCTTGTCTGCAGGGCCACTCAACACCCTGCCTTCGATATCTCTTGCAGGAGCATCCCGTGCTGCAATTACAGCCCCACGGCGACTCTCTGTGCACCTTCACATCGCCCCCAGCCATCGTACCCATATATGAGCCCTAGGTATGGATGGGTTGGGTGAGGGACTGCTCCAGGCACGGGCAGGCTGCCCCAGGGTAAAGCTTGCTCACATCAGCCACTAGTTCTCTTTTCATTAGGCTTTGATGCAGAATTGCTCAGAGGATTTTTCTGGGGGCTATGGTGCAGCCTGCCTGCACGTGGCTTAGCATTTCCCAGATTTTGGGGCCACAGCAGTGTTGCCTATGCTGCTCTTGTGTTTTCTGTCATTGTCACTTGCTCTTCTCGGAACACAGTCCTGTTCCCACTGCCCAATATGCAGTAATCAGCCCAGTCCTTCACCCACTGCAGGTCCAGCAGCACCTTTTAATCCCTGCATGTTCCCTTTTGGGATCTCTCCACTGCAGAGGCAGCTCTTACCCTAGAACAGCCCTTGGGAAGCAGCAAGGGGAGAGGGGAGGCTGTTTATCCAGCTTAGTCATCCCTGTGCTATTACATCAACTCCCCACAGTCCAAAATTAGGAGTCAGGCTCGTAGAAGACGTGTGATTGGCATTAAATTCCTGAGAGCAGAAACTGAAAGCAAATGGGAAGAACAAAAAAAGCAAATGGGAAGAACAAACGGGGCAATGAGCTCCCCACAGATGTCCCCATGCCCAAGCCCTGGCGAGATGTTTCTCAAGGTCTTCTCTGCTGAGAAAGAGGCAAATTTTCCTGTACTTGCATGGCTCTGGAAATGAAGGCTTGAGGGAGGTGACAGTGCAAGGAGCAGGAGGTGGCAGCATGACACCTGCTGGGAGCAGCTCGCTCAGGTGGCAGCACCAGGGAGCTTTCTGCCCAGCCTTGGCTTTGGCCTCAGCACCCAAAGACGCCTCCACAGGGGACAGGGGTGGCTGCACGCACACCATTCGCCCCTAAGTGATGCCAGCAGCCAGCACTGGGGCTTCTGCTCTTCTTCCTCGCTGGAGTTTCATCCTCCCTGTGCCGTGTATCTCCCCCAGGTGGGACACGAGCCACTTCAAGAGGATGGGAGGAGTCCAGCGAGGCAGCTACACCATCCACCCTGAGTTTTGCTCAGAGGTTTACTCTGCCCAGGAGTGCTGAAGACCAAAGGTGGGCTTTCAATAAAACCACTTTGGGCAAACTGCTCCTGTCAGCTTCTTTCCTTGGGACGGTCACTGCAAAGGGGACCTGGAAATAAAATCCAGCAGCCGCTGCCTTGGGGTGCACTGGAACAAATCTGGGGGGCTGGTACCCAAACCAAAGCATGCAGGAGAAGCTCTGGGAGCGCAGTGACTGCACCAGAAGGAGAAGCAGCCCACCAGGACCCCCGGCATGGGGCTAAGCGAGGAGTGGGGGTATGACAGTAATGACTGCATGCCATTAATGAAGGCGTGTGGTTAATTAGCGAAGACCTGGGAGCTCCTGCACCCCCGGCACCCCCGCCTCACAGCCACCCGCTGCGCCCCAGCCGGGCCAGGGGGGGACTGGGGACGACTGGAGGGGACTGGTGGCGACTGGAGGGGACTGGTGGCGATCGGGGAGGGCCAGGGGGGGCCGGGCCAGGGCGGAGCGAGCTCCCCGGTTCCGCCCAGCCCCGGAACCGCTGCGGGAGGCGGTGTGCTCGGCGGCCGGAGCCCGGCCATGGCCCGGGGCTGCGGGTAAGTGCCGCGGCCCCTTGGGGCTGGGGAGGGGGTGCCGAGGGGTTCCCGGGGCTGGGGGCTTGGGGTGCCCCCTGGGCAGGTTTGGGGTGCGCACCCCCAGGCAGCGGGGTGTCCCTGGTCGGGGTGCGGTCCTTTCGCCCTGCTAGGTGTAGGGGCTGCGCCCCGATCCCCCTGCCTCTTGCAGGGTGTGGGGAGGGGGTCTGCCGCCCCGAAAGGGCTGCCCGAACCCCGGCTCCAGCCACAGGTTGGGCTCCGAGGGTCTTTGGGACAGCCCGGCCACCAGCCCCTGCCATGAGTGGTGGTGGCGAGCAGTGGAGGTGCCCCAGGGAGCCCCTGGCCACTTTTCTCCTTCCCCGTGCCCTCTTGGGCTGCGTGGGCACCGTGGGCGATGCCCAGCGGGACGGGCACCGCAGCCCTGCAGCGGGTGAGGCGTGAGGCTCACATCGGACCTAGGCACGCAGGAGCTGCCAGCAGGTGTTTTAACAGCTTGGCACTCGCGTTTGGCCCAAGGCTGGCCAGCATCACTGGTGCTGTCGGATACGGGCAGAAATTTCGGTGCTCATCGCCTGCTGCTTGCGCTGGAGCTGGAGGCACCTGGGGGTTTCGCAAGGGTTGGAAAATTGCGGAGGCTGTGCCAGGGGCTGCCCCTGGGTTCCCGTTTCTTGCTGGTATCACCTTGTGGTGCTCGAGTGTTGGGGTGAGCTCGGGTTTCAGCCAGCCTCAGCGCCCGGGAGTGCTCCCAAAAGGGCACGGGAGTGCTCCCAAAAGGACGGATCTGCTCCTTCAGCCTGGGGTGGGAGCACGGCTCCGTGGCCACCTTGGCATGGAGTCACCAGTGAGGGTCTGAGCTATCGTGTGCCGTGGGGGAGATGTGGAACCAACGTGTCCAGAGGGCATGGGACAGGGGACGGGAGTCATGGTGGTGGTGCTTGGGTCGGGTCTGGGGGGCAAAGCAGGGCTGAGGCACTGGGGAGGTGCTCTCACTGCAGCCAGGCACAAGCAGTATGCTGGGGGAATGTCCCCTGCCAGGGCACTTCTAGCCCTGGCCACTCACTGTGTTTTAAAGCCTGTCCTGCATGAGAGATCGCTTTTTGCAATTGCACTTGGAAGGATTTTAGGGCAAGTTTGTTTAATTCGCCTTTCCTACACATGTGAGCTGGAGAGTTCAGCAGCTTGGAGAAATTTGGTCACCAAGAGCATGACCTGAGGCATCGCGGGGCAAGTGTTAGGCACCTACTGGGGGCATTGCAAACGTGTGCAGAGCTAAACTGAAAAACCAGCTTACTGGAACTTCGTCTCACTAATCAGTGCACATTAAAGAGCAAGGAAAGATGACGTGAAGAGAGAATTGTCAGGTGTATTCAATCTTAAGACATCTGCCACCAGAATTGTCTCACTGTGGACCTTTTTGCATTGCAGTCATGGTCAAACACCCGATGAGGTGTTCAAAGGGGTTTGGAGCACCACTCGGTGCGGGCAGTGTGAAGGAACAAAAGTGGGCTGCGAAGTGCCAGTTCCTGCAGTACAGGTGGAAGTATTTAAGGTTCAGCAGAGGGAATAGTGCAGCCTCAAATCTGTCTCTGCACACCATGCGAGTCCTAGCAGCATTTCTGCAGTCCATGGATGAGCTCTATATTCACATATTTGGGGTTTATCCTCTGGGTGCTCGGTGCTGCTTGATCCTGGCTTAGGAACCAGCCAGCAGCAGCGGGGTTGGTTGTTTCCTTTTGCTCAAAGCAGCTCCATTACGGTGCTGAATCATAGCTGTGCTTAGACTTTTTTGGGGAGGACTAATAATAATTTGGTATGGGAGCAGTGTGAGTTTTTTGCTTTCTGCTTCTTAAAAGCCTCTGAACACAGGTGGGACAAGCGTTTCCCCTCCCTTCCCACTCCTGCCGCAGGAAGATGAGTCCTGAGCCTGAATCCCGAGGCTCTGGGATGCAAAGCCAACACCCCACTCGTGCCAGCAGCACCCTCCGTGCTCTCTCCTTGCTGCCGTGTTGCCTGCAGCAGCCACCACAGCAGGAGGGCTGGCTGCACGCGATTCCGTCACAGTGCCCGAGAAAACACGCCGGTGACATGCTGGTGACGTGCCGGTCCCCTCCTCCTGCCCGCAGGCACGTGCCGCTCGCAGCCTGCCCAGGGCACAGCCAGCTCCATGCCCTGAAACCTCCCGGTGCTGTGAGGAGGACAGAGAGATGCAGCAGCATGGATTTTTGATGTGCTTAAAATACATCTGCAGCGGAGCCGGGTACTCCCCGGAGGCGATGGACAGGTAGGTGCCGGCACCGTGCCCCGTGTCCCCGGCGGGATGAGCTGTCTGTACCCGACAGCCAGGCGTGGTGGGGAATTTTCTGCTGTGTATTGGCAGGGAGGCGGCATCCCAAACGCAGGGAAGCAGCTGTCACTTTGCAGGAGGCAAAGTGACCCCCTTCTCCTGGCCTGTCCCCCAGCCCTTCAGACCAAGCAGCGTTGGGCCCTGCTGTGACCTGGAGCAGCTGTGCCCCCCCTTGCCGGTGCTGCCCTGTGTACCCCATGTGTCCCCCTGCCCCCCTGGCTCCTTTCTGATTCCTCAAAGAGAAAATAAACCCACAGAAGGGTTTGTTCATCCCAGCCCCTTTCAGACTTGGGCTGCAAAGTCCCTTTAGCAAGTCACAAGGGCTGTGCACTCAGAGGCTTCTTTTGTTCCTGTAGATGCTTTGCAGAGAAGTCATTTCCCCCTTTTGCCATCCTAATTCCCTGCTCTTTTAGGGGCTGGAAATGTCTGGCAGTGAATTCTGCAGTGTTTCATTTGCTTGACCCTGGCCAAGACATTCGGAGAGGTGGCAGCACCTTGCACCACCTGACACACAGTTTCCTGACATCCTGGCTTGGGAAATCAGTGCAGGCACCAGCACAGTTTGGGTCTGACCCTGCTGGGGCGATAGGGACCCGTTAGTTGTTAGTGACCATTTTTAAACCAGTGACCTCATTACGAAGGTGCTGGGGTTAGTGGTGCTGTGGGTCTCGCAGCCCGCGTTTAGCAGCGGTATTGGTAAAAATAGAACCGGTCGAAAAATGAATTTTTATTTTTACTCTGTAAAGTGTGTCCTGCTAGGGTGTTTTGCTTTCATCGCAGATCAAGGCAAGGCGACTGGCTGCTTCCATGGAAAGGGAAGAAAAAGCTTTGTTTTTGGGTCAGCTGGGAAGCTTCGTCGCAGCAAGCTGCAAGCACGCTGCTTGGCTTTGCCGCCCTCCCTGCCCGTTTTCTTTTTTTAGAGGAGCTGGAGGTCACCGCAATGTCGCCTTGGAGCAAAATAACAAGTTTGCATTCCAAAATATGTTGAAACAGCCGTGGCGTGTGCAGGCAATTCTCCGCGTGCGAGGTGGTGGGCGTAATCTCGGGAGAGCGTAGAAGACTTACCTTTGGTCTGGGACAGGGACAGGGACAGGTCACGGGATGGTGAGCTGCAAATTTTGTTAACAAAGCAAAACCAAGGAGGTCTGGGCCAGCTACAGAGCAAGCTCCTGCTGGCCCCCAGCTGCAAACATTTCTCACAGCCTGCTTGGCAGAGCTGTGCCCGAGGAGGTGACGTCCAGACCTCAAGGTCCATCCTGGAAGAGGTGACATCTGACACAGCCCATCAGCCCCATGCACCAAAAGGGGTTTAATCCTACCTCAGCCATGCTCTCGGCTGTCCCACCCCATGGACAGCTGCTGCGTTTACAGAGTTTGTGCTGCTGAAGCTCTGTTGAGCCCTGTGGCTCAACAAATTTGCCCCCACCATGAGTGCCTGAAACGGCTCGAGTTGCAGCCTGCACCAGTGCTTGAGGTCTGGGCGCTTTGCGTGGTGCAGTGCTGCATTTTTGGGTGCTGCTGATTGCACGTGTTGGTGAATACCATCCTCTGTGGTGGGACGGTGCAGGATGGTGCTCTGCCTCCATGCAGGGCTGCCCGAGCCCTTCCTCTACCAAGCTGCAGAGGTTGGCTCAGCCTTTGTACTGGATGGGTGCCCCAGCATCCATCCTGTGTCTGTTTGGGTGTGCCAGACACAAGGACAGCCTGGACCCACAGATTGAGTTAAGTCTGCTGGCTCGGACACCCAGGTTGTGAACAGCTCCAAGGCAGAATGGGGCCGAAAACCTTTCCTACAAACTGCATTGGTTCGCTCCTGAGTGGCAGCAGTGGTGCCAGCTCTTTCGCGTACATCACAAATTCCAGCCCGTGGAGGGGGAAAAAGAAACTGCCTAAAAATAGAGCGGATTCAAAGTAGTTCATAAATAATAAACCAGCCTCCTGAAAGGGAGATGGAAATCCAGCAAGTCCCTGGAGCAGGGGGCTGCTTTGTTGCTCTCAGTTTTAAGTGGAGATGAGGAGGGGGCCATCTCCACCATGGCAGGATCAGCTCAGTATCAGAGGCTTAAAATCCTAGATGAAATCTAAGAGAGACAAAGCCATTT